ACAAGCATTTTCGTCAGATAAGTGGACTTCTCTTTGGCGCACTTGGATGGGGCAGGGGTGGCAACACTTGCTTGCCTGGGACTGAGCTCAGTCGTTGCGGGGATAGACGCTGACCGCGGCTTCTCGATGCAGTCCTCGTCAGCAGTACTGACGCAAGTGACTCGCACCCGGGAGGTCTCCGGCGCGCCATTCTCACTAAAGACCTTTATGCCACTGCGGAACTTACGCATGCTGCGCAGTTTTATACCAATCATGATGTTAGCAATCAGCATGATGAGACAGGGCAGCAGGGCGGCAAACAGGAGATCGTAGAAGGGGAAAACACGATCGGCAAAGTAGGTCGGTATGCAGGCGAATGAACCGGGTGCCACCTCATGGTACTTCATGGTGAAAAAGAAATGCGAGTCAGTGAGGGTGAATCCGAGGATGAAACAGGTCACCGTGATCTTGGCAGTCAAGTCAGTGCAGATTCGGCGAGCACTGAAGGGCAGCACAACCCAGATGGCACGCTCCACGGTGACTGCAACCAATAGCCAGACACTTATGTAGGCCAGAGTGTAGTGCAGGAAGGGTGTTATGACACAGAGCACGGCAGACTTCTGTCTGAGCTCCAGCGGGAAGAGAAAAATGTAGTTCACGATGGAGGCCAGCAGACTGGTGAGGAGGTAGAGAATGTCAGTTATGGCAAGCATGGTGAGATAGAAGCAGGAGCTGGATTGTCGCAGTTTCCGGGACCGCAACACCAGAACGGTGAGTACGTTACCGAAGAGTCCGAAACACAGGATGAGGCACCAGACAGGAATACGTACAAATCGGATAACAGTTGCGAACAGGGGCAACTCCTCCACTGCCTCGGAGTCATTGGCGGCAAGGACAAATTGAAGAGACTGATTAAAGGGCAGAACGTCTTCCATCGCGCAAGGAAACAAGGTCCGACTTTTCTACAAGGGTAGAAAATACGTCACATTTTTGGCTTTGGTTTTATAACGAAGTTGATAAAATATTTTTTAAAGCTGTAATGTCAGCCAATATTTGTGCAGTTTTGTTAAAATTCACAATTAACTTCGCTGCATCTATTTGGACGCCGTGAAATTCCATAAAACTAGTAACAATCCGTTGTCGAAACCTGTTTCCTTTTGCCTTGTTGGTGAATTAGACTAAAGTAATTTCCCACCACGTCAAGAAAATGCAAAACGATCTATTAAAGTCAAGCTGTCCAGATGCTGTTACAGATAAAAACCCGTTGAGCGATTGTGCATCGAAACTGAGTGACTAACTGAAGAAGGCATTCAAGTGCTGCCCTCTGTTAAAGTGTAACAAAACACTGGCCGACGTTCTAACTAATATTGCAAAATGTGATGTACTCAGAGGCTTTTGTAGTACAGGCACTTTTACGCATTTTCGTGAGAAAATTGAAATAGTATTTACCAAGATGAACACAACGGGATATGGTTTCCAAAAATCATAACCCAAGGATTACGATGCTTAGAAAAGATTTAGATTTTTGCCGTCTTTATTAAAACTAAAACAAGAATCCAGGACACTGGTCGTATTTAAAATAAACTCTACTGTCATATTAGTTCTACGTTTGGAATTTGAAATACTTTTTTTTATTTTTGTGTTTTCAGGGGAAGCAAGTACAACTGTCAGGGCATTTGCTAAAAGCTCTTCTAATTCCAAGCCTCCTGGATAATATTTGCAGTGCTTGAACAACCAGATGAATCCTTCAGTCACACTCGTCTCTTTGAAATTATATTTTGTATCCAGGCACATACGTTTACATCGATCATAAATCTATATTTTGTAAAGTTTGGGTTCCTTCGAATTGCAGAATATGTTCCTAACAAAGCGCCTTTACATTTCATCCATAGCCTCGTAAGGCAGTCACATACTGCCTTCTAATAATGCCAAAACAATAGCGCGCATAGAAAACGGAGACGGGGCTAACATTTCTGGGCGCGGAGCTATAATTTGCCGGACAATCCCTAAAAATCTGCAAATGTACTTTATCTTGGATTTTAACACAGTCATTTTTCAATCATAAAACATTGTGAAATCCAGCACCATACAAGCTCCTTACAGGCGTATCTTCATATGTGCTTCGTTTACGGAAAATGATGATTTTTAGAGAGCACTTTGGCATTTTGGTCAAAGACAACTCAAGTTTTGTTTATCTAGGGTAATTACGAAAAAGGCAATCATTATCTCTGGAATCTTAATTAAAGCACGTCTCAAAGACGCTGCTTTTATTGCCGACGGCCTTGAGAATATAATAAAAGGAATTGCTAGAATAATTTTTAATAATTTTCTTCTTTGATCGTGGAAATGTTTGCAAAAAAGCTGTATTTTATGTTATGTTCATGAACAAAACTGTTTGGTCTATTCCTTAGGCTATGTGCTGCACAACGTTCCTTGAGAAATTCATTAGGTCTGCATGTTTTATTATGAAAATCCATCTGCATGCTTGTATTTTTGCCCATGTGGACTTCTGACGTGGTTAAAAACGATATTGGTATCGGGGACTTGACCGTAGCTCAATTAAACTAAGCTTATATTTTGGTAAAGATTTCATTTGTTTGTTTTACTGGTGAAACCACAAAAAAGTGGTCTTGGAGACCCGTATATTATGTGGAGTAACACAGACCTGCTGCCTGCTGCAGCATTAAATGAAATGAAACTAAAAATAAATAATACTTTTTTTCCTTCCCCGACGGTAAACCATTTGAAGCGTTCCAGTTATCGAAACACGAAGAAATATTTCGTTAGAAAGTTACATTAAACAAGTAATTAGAATGAAAAAATACTTTTTACTCCCAGAGATCGGTCGTTTATCCGTAGAGTATAGACAGATACTCTTGTACTTGATTAAATTCCAGTCTACTTTTGGTTAAATATAGCTACCTTGGATGTTCGCAAATAGGGATTTGACATGCAAACACCTACATTTCCTCAAAACGTAGATTCAAATTAACTAAAACAATGAAGAGGAATTAAGAACCTATCTCGATTCATCTTGTAATATAGTTCCCAGCTTTTTTA